ATATTTTCTGTGGTTTACCAATACTAGGCCTTCCTATGCTTCAGTGAGCCGTACAACCATCTTGATAAATCTTATAATTTTCCTTCCAACTTTTTTTTAACCTTTTAAATGTAAATCAAGAAGCTAATGACTGAAATTTCAAAGCCAAGTAACCACTCCTATTAATTTGATTGTGAAAGATATGACTAAGTTTTCTAAGTCAACTCTGAAAATCAATCTTTTTCACTGTATAAAATTTCCAAAGTTCCTGTGCATATGTCGCTATTCAAGATTTTGAGAAATGAAATTAACCTTCCTTTTCCTTTCCATCCCAGATTTTATTTATCTTGAGAAAGTCTTCTGTCTTCTGGTTAGTTGATAGTTTTGAAGGGTCTGCAGTTTCCTGACCACACTTTGAATACCTTTACCTAGGACTATAAATTGCTTTCATTTCAATTAAGATTAAGCAACAAAGACAAGTCAAATAAAGAACATTTTTATAAATCCATACTCCTAGGTGTGAACAGGTATTTTTTTCCATTAACAATTAGGAATTTAAAATGTAGAGGATGATGGCTCATGGTTTTAGATCATATGCAGATCAGAAGAATCAAAAATTATAAACAGAGAAGCCCTGAAATATGAGAAAAAAAAATACCATCTTCAATATTTCAGTTTAACAAGTAACACTGCAGTCATGCAACACCAGCAAATTTTTCTATTTCTATTATACTGTGTATGGACCAACTTTGCAGTCTTGTCGGAAATGACAGAAGTTGTTAAGAGTATTATGTTGTTCATGCACAGTGATTCTTTTAGTGTACCCAGGACTGATCAAGCCATTGCTTTAGGCTGGAATGCTCTGAAGAAAACAGACACTAGACAGAAGCCAGAATTACTGACATGTTAGCCTTTTTAAAAAAAAGGAGGGTCAGGCTTCGTGTAAAGATTGCACCTGTGTTTAGATCCCATTTATTTAAATCAATGGCAAAAAAGGGATTCCATAGTTTTCAGTGTAAGAAAATGCTGATTGTTATGGGAAGCCTTCTCTGTTTCTTGGTGGAAGCGCAAAATCTTAAATACGTGGGGAAAAAAAGTACCTTTCAGCAAAGTAATAAAGAACTCTGGCATGGTTTCTCTGAGCTGGCCCTGGCAGGAATTGCTTTTATATTGTGAGCATTAGTACTATTTCTGGGATAAAATACATTTTTTCCCTGCTTTTGAATAATTTACCTTTTATTTTTTAGTAAAAAGCATTACTGCCAAAATAGTGTGAACATCATCTACTGCAATTAGATAGATAGATAACCTATGCAGTAGGCCCAGTGAAAACCCTGCATCCTTTAAAAAGTACTAAGAGTGCTTAAAAGAGCCTTACAAATAATTTTATAAGTTATAAAAATAGTTCAGTGCAGAGTTATTGCACGCTCCTGTCTGTTTTCATTCCATCGCTTTCCAGCCCCATCATTTAATACAGCACGACAGTAACTCTTCCTCTTTGAATCAAGGAGACATTCTCCTGCACAGCCTATTTCTGTTCTGAAGATGGATGCAGGCTCTGATACTGGATTTTGAAGAAGTTGCTGTGCCCAGTATACTCTATATAAGGCTGGATAAGAGGGAAGGACCACTGTATTGTACAGGGAACAAAACATTCCTGACACGCAGAAAGGGCTGTTGGGTGTTTGCATCACGCACCCTACAAATCATCTTTGACGCTTTATAACTTTAAATAGCTATTTTTCAGAAATCTCTGACTTGATGCTTTATATGACCCTTATTACTATTTTTCTCAGGCCAACTGGAGAACAATTTTTTTCCTCGTAGTAGCATTATGTGGGAGAGAAAACCAGGATCTCCACTTAGAGCTGGCCTAAGGCTGAGTGTACACTGGATCATGTGTCTCATCTACAGTTATCTGCTTAGGGGAAGTCTACTAGCACAGATTCAGCCCTTGTGTCTGATCCACCTTACCTCTAAATCTGCTGGGTGCTCTATCAGGCAGGGACTAAGAACTTTCTAATTGGTTTTGTATTGAAATAATAATTCTTTCACAAGTTTTTTTTAAAGATCTTCTCCCACTTGTAGATTCCTCTTTGAGATGTGTGTTTGGGGATTGAACTCTGAAGAAGTCCTTAAAGCTTTTCAGAGCTTCAGTCCTTCAAAAAATTAGAAAGCCTTTTAATTGTTTTAGGCTGTACAGTTTGCCTTTAGAGTCCTGGCCCAGAATGTATCCCATTGGAGAGCTCAGGATTCGGAGGTTGGACAGGGAGGGGCTGTTGTCCTCTCTGAAGTCTCCAACCTAGGGCTCTGAAATCTCTAAGAAAATCCCTTCTGTACTACAATGAAAAATGGAAAGAAAGTGTAGAAACAAGCTTTAGGCCATTTTATTTTCCTAGTTTCTGTGAAGGGTAACACCTCAAGTTGTTTTCTGATGAAAATAATACTAAATGTGCATTTCAGTAATCATGTTTTTAATGAAAAAATCTTACAAGCACTTGTACTTCAAATGCCGTCTCTTTGCCAAAACTGTTTTCATGGATTACGTCTTCTTTGTGTACTTGGGCAGTACAAATGCTTTAGGGGAAGGTGTGATGCTCACTCTTATGTCACCTGATTCTCTTTCACTGGCAGGATCTTTCCATCTTAATCCTACAATCAGTTTCTATCCACTTCTCTGTACAGAAAATTATTTGCATCAGAATCGCTGAGTAAGGAAACCTCAAGTTATAGTAGAATTTTATTTATGCTGAAGAAATTAATGCCAGCTAATATTCTTGTTTCTTGTTCTATTTTTCTTCTGTATTTGATTTTTGGTAATTGGCCCAACTTGTGTCCTACTGTGGGAGCTTGGCAGAGAGAGAGGGATAAGGAACGGAGAAAAAGATTTGTAGGTGGCAGGGACAGCTTGTGTATGTGGCTGCATGCATATGTGAGCTGGCAGAAAGCAAGGCTATGTGGATTTTAACTGTTTAACTAATACTGTACGTAAATCTTTAGCTAGCTGGGAATGTGACCCAAGAAAGGCAAAAGAAATATTTACAGGTGCTCCGCTGGTATTTGATTTCTGTACAGGAGTGATCAGCATGCACTTAATTACTTCCCCAGAGACCATGTCCATGCAAGGGTGAATCATGCAACTCTCAGTTGACTCATGGGTGGAAAAAATGGAGTTAGCACAATCCAAAATGGCAAGGATTTGTGGTCACAAGGAGAAAAATAAAATATACATTTACACAACAAATGTAGGCAGAGAAGGATTTTCTGTTCAGTACTTCTTGTCATGGTGAAGACTTGGATTTTTTTAAGAAAAAGGCAACTTGAGTAGAAAATGAAAGCCAATATACTGCCATTCCACCTCTAGCTCTGATCTTGCTTGATCTGGTAAGTTAAATGGGGTAAGTGCATGTGACATTATTAGAGAAAAACTAGGCAATAGAGGACAGTATTTTAATTGCTCAGAGGAACTCTTCCTCCTGAGTCAGAAATAAAGCTGCGCCTCTACATGCTGTCTATGGCAATATGGTGTTGGTTAATTACCCTTTGAATAGGGTCTAATGCAGAAGCTGTGATGATCAGTTGTTATTAGAAACCAAAATGACCTTTATTTAGGACAAGTGCTTTGGCTGCATCCAGTTTTCGGTAAGTGCTTTACATCTATTCCAGGTTTTTTGTCTGTAGTTCCAAGTGGATGTGTTGTTTTGTTGTTTCTTTGCCTCGATCTGTTAGGTAGTGGTGTTTTCTATTATATTTTGAGTTCCAGCTGAGAGACAGCTCATTTAAAGTGGTGGGGAGAAAGCCTCGAAAAGAGATGGATATTTGATACATCCCACTGAAATCCATTTGTAGAGAAGGCACTAAGTTTGTTCGAAAGTAATTCCTTTATAGGGGTATTACCAATTCTAAATACTCTTTTTTTCTAGTTGAAATGGAAAACCACTTGAAAGGAAAGAACCACTGTGTTTTAAGTTCCACAAATAGTATTGCATGCATGTGATGTTAAATGGATACTTGGTTATCATGAGAATCTACAGCCAAGGCTTTGCGTGTAGGACTCAGTATTCCGGACATTCACCTCCGTGTACGTCAGAGTGGATTAATTCTTCAGGTTGTGGCAGCTTCTGCAGTGGTTCCTGAGGGGTGTTTTAGAACTCTGCATCTCTTGTTTAACATGGCAGCTCGGAGAGTCCAGACAGGTTTAATATGTACTGCATTCAGCTTGCATTTCGTTTTAGAGGAGTCATTTTTGCTCTCTGCGGAGGCTTCAATTGTAGAGGGCCAAATGATGGGCATAATTAAGGCAAGTGGTGGGATACCAGCGGAGCACTTTGGTGTTTCCACCAAGGATTTTGCAAATCCTGGCTTGATTAATCTGTTTAAACATCTGTGCATCCTCTCGTCTGTGCAACTTATCCCCGGGTATCTCTCCTTTCCGCTGCCTGCCTACCGTGCCTGTGTGTCTGCCTGCCTGCTCGTAGCGGATCAAACACAGCCGCAGCCCGCTCTGCCGCCTCGCTCGGCGCTCGCACACGATGCGAACGGTTCTGTCCTCCTTGAAATGCAGCTCACACTCGCATTCCGTAGTGGAACCGCAGGGCAGAGCCCACAATATTGAGAAACCGGATCGAAGCGGGGCGGGCGGACGGCGGCGCCGGGAGCCGCGGGCGGGCGGCGGGCGCTGCGCGGGGGCCGTGCCGCTGTCCGGCCGTGCCGCCCCTGCCCCCGGGCCGCCGCCCCCGGCCCGGCCCCGCTCCCCTCGCCTGTCCCCCCACTTCTCCGCTCCAGGCAGCCGGCTCCAGCTCGCCTCCTTGACGTCATGTCTGTAGCGAGGCTTCAGCAGGCGCAGTGGAGGCAGGCAGCGTGTTAAACTTTCAGATCAAGTCCGGCGGCTCCCAACGCCGTGCGCGGGGGGCTGCGTGCAGCCGCCGCAGCTGGAACATCTGGAAGCGTTCAGTGTGTCTGTCTGTCGGCGAGAGGGAGAGAGCGGGGAGCGAGCGCGCTGAGGGAGGGGAGGGAGTAAGGGGCTGGGACTGTGCTCTCTTCCTCTGCAGAAACAGCTCCCTGCCAACACAACGCGCTCAGAATGGCTTTGAAGAGGAGGAGCAGCAGCGCTTGAACATCTCTCTTTTTTTTTTTTTTTTCCTTCCTCCTTTTCTTACTCTTGTAGTTGGTGGATTTTAAAAAGACATTTAGCCCTCAGAGGTTTGTCCTGGATGCTTTTGCTTTTTTTCCTTTTCCCCCCCGCCTCTCTCTTGTTTCCCCCCTTCCTGTTCTTTTTTATGGTTTAACAGCCAGAGGTGCTGTGCTAAATTCTTGGAAGGGGCCCGGATGTACTGAGGATGCATTGCAATTTCACTAAAGGAGGCAGTAGTGGAAAGGATCAGTTTTTGGTGTTTGATGCAATAATGGGAATCAGGTAATAATAAAAGGGGAAATTCTGCAGCTCCATTCTTCCTTGAATTTTACCAAGCCGATTTTCGGAGGGATTAATCTGGACTCGTTTTAAATGGTCAATGAAAACAAGAGGATGTACATTCCAGAAGAAAACCATCAAGGTAAGCCTGAGATTTACCTCCGAGGACCTAGCAACCATTCCCTACCCTGCCCTTTGTCCCTTATCTCTCGGCTCAGTTCAGCCGCCGCTGCCACAGCCAGCGGCAGGCGGAGGGGCCGGGGCAGAGGACAGCCTTTGACACCGGGTTCCATTCGGAGCACATCTCCCCTCGGCCGGGCATGCTGCCGAGAGACCACCCCAGCCCCTCGGGGAACGGGTGTTAGGAAACCCCGGGCAAAGAAAAGTTGCTTTAAGTCGCCGTCGTCGCCTTCTTAGGCGGAGGGGCGAGGAGGGGCGCCCGGCGAGGGGGCTGCGCGCTGGGGCCGGAGGCTGAGGGGAACCGCGTAGCAACCCACTCCTCCGTCTCAGAGGAAGATTAACTCGCAGTGTGGCCGGAATTAAGGGATCTTTCCCAGTTAACGTCGTCCCGGTCCTCCAAACCCCCGTCTGGGTACGGCTTCGTAAGACACCGGGAGAGGAGCCCTTCCCTTCTCTTACGCTATTTCTAATCTCTCACACAAAAGGGGAGGGGAAGGGAGAATTATCTGTTTACACACATATACACCATACACGCTCCCATACTGAAAGAACGAGGGACACCGGGGCTGCCTGTATTAAAATTAAAGTTGGTTTTTACTTGGGACACTGATTTCTCGCGGAGCTCCTCTCAGGATCGCCCGCATCATGGATACCAACCCGTGCTGCTGCTCCTCGGCATTAGCAGACGTCCCCCGCTATTCCCTGTAGTAAAACTTTGTTTGTCCAAACTCCAGAAGCCTTCCCCCGCCCCCATCTCCCCCACCCGCCCAACCCCGATCTGCCTTTCCTGAAGTTATTTTTATCCTATTACCTGCATGGTGTCACCCCCTCCTCTCCCTTCCCTCCAGCCCTGACTGCACACGTCGGTGTTGCAGAGCAGACAGAGCCATTTCCTCCCCTCGGCGAGAGAGGAGCAGTGCTCCGCCGGGCGCGGATGCTGGGCTGCTTCTCCCTCCCGAGCAGAACCCCCCCAGGGCGGCTAACTTCTTCCTCATCTCCCCCTTTGCCCCCGGCCCTGCCCTCAGGGCAGCCCTTCCCTCGGCCGGCGACAACTTGCCTGCCCGCAAACGAACCCCCGCCCTCTGTGATCGAACACCTGCTCGGGGTGCGGGGGTGCCCTGGTGAGCCCCCCAGTCAGCCCTACCCCCGAGTCCCTCGCAGGGGCGGCCGAGGGTGCAGCTGGGGAGGGGCGTCAGCGCTATGGCAGCCCTCAGTGGTGGAGGGGCAGTGGGTTTGCAAGATAACACCATCCTCCTTCCGATTAAATACAGATTAAAAAGAATAAAACCACCCAGCACCCCCACCCCTGGCCACTCTATCGAAATGAGGTGGGAGGGGAAAGGAAGCAGCCCCTGATCCAGAGTGCTCCTTCCAAGTGGGAGCGAGTCCGCAGCACATGCATTCAGCAAGCGTAATTGGGCTGCTCTTCCTGGTCCAGAGCTGATAAAGTGGATGAAGAGCTCAGCCTCCATAGCAATATGCCAACGCTATGGCAACCTAAATCCAGCTCCCTCCTTATCAGCTGCAGTGATTATATAATTGGAGGAACAGTTTTGCATCTGTCTCTTGATGCGGATTGTCATTACTCCCAGGTGAAAGAACAACTTCTAAAGCAAACAGAGAATCAGCCAGGTGGAAGAGAGTTATGTTCCCTGATAGTGCTCAGGCTGCCATTTATTTACAATCTATTTTTATTTTGTGCAAACAGCACCTGAAAGGTTAAATTGATCAGTAGTCAAGAAAACCTGGTGGTGAGGAGACAGGAGCAAACCAATCACAACGTGGAATGGAGCCACTAAAGCAACCACAGATTCCCAGTTGCAAGGTAGTGGTAGAAAGGGAGTGAAAGATGAAGCTAGGTCTGTGATTCTTGTCTACTCCTTGCTTCTAAGAGAGAAGACTAATTTGGATAAGTCTTGCATCTTTCTCAGTTGCTGGCAGCAAGGTAAATGTTCGAGGTACTAGTGATGCAAGACCAATTTTGATGTCTGTTCCTGAAATGTGAGTGACGTGACTAGGCCTCTGCCAGCAGTTGCTCTCTGCACGGGTCTGAGCTCAGCCAGCCCTTTGTCAGCCTACCTGAACAGCCCTTACACTCAGGTATCTGGGCAGTAGGGGAGCTGGTGTAATAGGGTTTACTTAAAATAAATAAATAAAGCATAGAGAGGTCATTAGTTACACTGTGAGGGCTGTGGGGAAGAGAAATTGCATGTGAAAGTGCTTTGTTGACTTCTTAACTGCTAATGTGGGTAAGTCTGTCATACGCTTGTCTTACGCTTTTGAACGTGACTTTGTACCCTGAAAATCTTTGACCCCAAACTAAGAATTTCCTAATTTTTTTTTTATGTTAAAATATTAGCTTACAGTGTTTTCATTGCAGTCTCCTATTGCACAAAGGGGGAGTAAGTAGTATTATTTGTTGATACAGAGACACTTTCCCATCTTCATCTTTTGCCACACAATGGAGTGTATTTTTTATAACCATTAATTATTCATTAATACCATAGAGCACATGTTTGTCTAGAAAATGATGAAAACCCACCTGATAAGCACCAGCAAAAGCTTTCAAAAGTAGCTATATCACATCTAATGCACACGTGGGACCGGATGGAATCCTAGATGGGGCAGCCTTAATGGGCTGCCTCATAATACTTTCAAAACTTGCTCTCCTAACATAAAATGGAAAATCAGTTTGCAAACCCACGTGTTGCAGCTCTCTCCGGGGAGGGACCGCAACGAGCCATCCTGGCCCCTGGGTGGCCGCTCTGGATCTCCAGCGTTGCTCAAACACCTCGTGAGGTTTCGCTGCTGGCCCTGCTGGTGTCCGGCGGGATCTGTCCTGGGGAGATCTGGCGATCAGGCAGGAAATGAAAGCAAGGCAGCAGTTTTTGCTGTGTTTTCCAGTTCTGGGGATTAGGTGGGGAGGGGGAGCGGGGGGGGGGGGTCCCAGGCTGCCTCTCCCGGAAGGTGGCACTGCAGGGCCGCGGAGCCCCGGTGGCGCTCGCAGGGGCTCGGCAGGAGACACTTCCCGGGATGCTCATCCAGACCCTGCTCTTCAGGAGGAAAGGCCAGATGTAGCACTGAGAGATAAGCGTCTATTCCGGAATAAAATTCATTAGGATTGAAGAGCCCCCGTTAGGTCATTTATTCCGTGTAGTAATGATTCTCTGAGTGAAAAGCCATTTCTGACACCCTGTCTGAACTACCCTTCCTTCAATTTCAGATAATGCCTTTGGGCTTTGTCCTTATTGCGTATTTTGAACAGATTTCTACCTGCTGCTTGTAGAAAAGAACCCCCTCAGGTATTTGTCAACCATAATTAGGTCTTCTTGCAACCTCCTTTCCAAACCTGCACATACCCTGTTCTTGAAATCTTCCCCTGTAAGACACTCCTTTCATAGTCCTTGTATCTTCTGTATCTGTTAAATTAAGAACTAATTAGTATACCCTTTATTTCTCAGAAGCCTATTGATAGCGAGAGGGTCAAGTCACAAGCATAGTCCCTAATGCATTTTCTGACCTGAAGTGAGGGTCAAACCCACAAATATTCCCCTTAACTTTGCAGGTATAAATAGAGATGATTGTGTACACTTCACAGCTGATTTCAGTGGAAGGGTTGAAATCTGTCTCATGCTGTGCTACAAGACAAAACCATTGGCTATATGCACTAGAATTTATTGGATGTTTGCTTTCATTTTCTGCTCTATTTTCAGAATGCCAATTTTATTTCCTGTTATTTCTTGGGGAAATGCTTTTCTGTGTAGGAGAAACCATGCTCTTTCCGTGGTGACAAAGTGATCAGATTAGCAAACTGAGTTGTCATTTTTGGCTATTTGTTCTTGTTGTCTTGTTTTGCTATCAGAGCAGACATTAGGGCATAAAGAATACCTCTAAGTGGTCTGAAACAGCTTATCTTCAAGATTTTTGTAGAAAAAAGTCTGAATCACTGCTTAAAAATGCAGCACTTTAATTCTACCCCCCCCCCCCCGTTTAACAACAAACACTTGTATTTATGAAATTTTGTCTTCTTCCTCAAAGTACTTGGAACTTTCAGTAGCTGTAAAGCATTTAATGCTATATAATATGAAATAGCAGTGTAATATAAAAAAAATTAACATAATGTTAAGTAACAGTTCTATATAATACAGTGCACTGCATTTACTTGTGAAAGGTGACTGTAGAGTCTTCAGAAAAGCATTTAAGTGCTTTCAAGCATTTCCTATCCTTAAAAGGAGTATTTAAGGATCCTGGAATTTAAAGTACATACTTCTGAAAGATTGTCTTTGAAACTGTCTTCAGTCACAGAAACCAGTCTTGGTTAGGTCGTCATCAGAGTTCCTGTTGACTGGTTCTACCTGACGTTTGCTCTGCTACCACACACCCTTACCTGGGGTGCTCTCTGCAGCCAAGGCACCTTTACCAACCCACTCTCACTTGCAGCTCTACTCTGCAATCCAGTATGTTTTGGGGGTCACATCTGAGTAATTCACTGCAGCAGATGTGACATGGTATTGCCGTGTGGAACTAATTTATCCTACCGAGATATTTGCTTTGAATTATTTGTCCTCATCTCTTTGTTTCCTCAAAACACTTCAGGGAACATGTTGTATAACTGCGGTGTTACTGGGTATGCTTAGTTTTGGCTTACTTTCTTTCAGTTTTGTGGAAAATGGTTCCATATCCATGCTTAAAATAGGATTTATCTAAATGGCAATCACTCTTAAATTTACTTTTTGGGTGTGTGCTTGTGTGAATTGACATTTGTGGCAATTTGACTCGCTTTGAAGTGTCTTGTTTAACCCTTTCTGGGAAATAATTAAAAGAACAGAGTAATTCCGATTCAGGAACAGCAAATACAAGATCTCTTCTGAGCAAGTGTGTTCTCTAAATTTATTGACTATCAACCAACATAACAGATGTGACTGCACGCAGTAAAAGTCTCTCTTAAATTATTGAACACAA